ATGGTTTAACAGCCGAGTTTTACTTAGCCTTTTGGCCCTTGCTTGGAAAGTTGGTAGTTGATAGTTTGAACTATGCTTTTGAATACGGTGAACTATCGAACTCACAGAAACAGGCCGTTCTCACCTTAATTGAAAAGAAAGGAAAAGACAAAAGGCTGGTAAAGAATTGGCGTCCAATATCCCTTGTAAATGTTGATGCCAAATTGGCGTCTAAAACTTTGGCAAAACGTTTGGAAAAGGTGCTTCCTGAAGTAATTCATTTTAATCAAAACGCGTTTGTAAAGGGGAGAACAATTTTTGATACCGTCAGAACGATCGATGATGTGATTGAATATGCTAGGTACAAAGATATACCTGGGATTCTAGTAGCTATAGACTTTGAAAAAGCTTTCGACTTGCTCAATTTAAATTTTCTTTTAAGAGTATTACATGCATTTAACTTTGGTTCTTCTTTTATTCAGTGGATACGGGTCTTATACAACAACGCCTCTAGCTGTGTAATGAACAATGGTTTTACAACAGGACCTTTTGAACTAAGTAGGGGAGTAAGGCAGGGAGATCCCCTCTCTCTCTACCTGTTCATAATAGCTTTGGAGACCTTAGCTATGTAGATAAGAGAAGATGATGGCATTAAGGGCATTACGATACGAGATGAACCTGTTAAAGTTTCCCTTTTCGCTGATGACATGACCTGCTTTATCAAAGATAGTAGTTCATATACAAACCTATTCGTTAAGCTGAAGACTTTTGGTGAATGTTCTGGTTTGAAAATAAATAATGAAAAAACTAAAGCCTTAGCTTTAGGAAATAGTAGTTCTCTTTGGGAGGGGTATTCTGATATGCCAAATCTTTGTAACACTATTAAAATTCTAGGCGTCTACTTTGGCTATGACGCTAAACAAAGAGATGAATCGAATTCTACGAATACTTTGAAATCACTTAAGAAGACGATCAATTTGTGGAAATGGCGTGGTCTTTCTCTCTTAGGTAGAATAAAAATTATTAAAACCTTTGCCATCCCTAAGTTTATGTTTAGAGCGTCGGTGACCTTATCAAAGAGGCCGACTCGCTTTTTTACTATTTTATTTGGAATGGGAAAGATAAAGTAGAACAAAATGTGATGATTTCGGAAGTTGAGAAGGGTGGCTTAAATATGCTCGATATTGATTCTATGGTTCGTACCAGACGAGTGATATGTATAAAAAAATATTTGTAAGACTATAAAAGTCCGTGGAAAGCTTTTTTAAATGAGGTTCTTATCCCCGTTGGTGGGAAGCTCATATTAAATTGTAATTTTGATACTTCTAAATTAAGAATTTATCTACCAAGTTTCTACAAGCAATGTCTCGACGCGTGGTCAGAAGTAAATGCAAAAACACCCAGCTTGCTACTTGAAATTGCAAATGAAGTTATTTGGAATAACAAGCTTCTCTGCATTAATAAGAAATCTGTGTATCGTAGAGATATTGCAGATTTAGGGTTTTTAACTTAACTAACGTTTCTTCATTATGGGTATTATTAACTCTATGCCTGCCAGTTGGCGCTTGACAATTAAAAGGCCAACTACTGCACCGGTGATTGATCCACTTCCGGATTCACCTGTTATCCTAATAAGTAACAATTTGGTTCCAATTCTTGACGCTTCCTCAAAGCAAATCTACCGGCTTTTCCTGGAGAAAAATCAAACAACGCCTACTGCTAAAGTAAAGTTAGCTGCAAAGTATTCAAACATTGATATTGATTGGAAAAGTGTTTATTCGCTATCTTTTCGCACAACATTAGAATCTAAACTTAGAGAATTTCAGTTAAAAATTTTAAACCGTATTGTCTTTATAAACGAAAAACTGTTTCGTTTCGGCTTGGCTGAGTCGCCATCCTGTGCTTTCTGCCAAACAGAGGTTGAATCCGTAGAGCATTTACTCTTTTTCTGTAGAGTATCATCTAGTTATTGGAAACATGTCTTGTCCTGGTTGCGCGATAATAACATCTCTGTTGATAACCTTAAAGAAGAGGACGTCATTTTTGGTAAGTTCGATATTGCAGAAGATTTTCTCCTGTTTAACCATATTTTGCTTCTGGGTAAGTTTTATATTTACTCTCGGAAATACCAGAATGGTATACCTTCTCTTCAAGGTTTTATAGCCAGGATAAGGCGTATTTACAACATCGAACTCCATATTGCCAGGAAAAGAGACAAATTAAACAATCATTTTTTTCATCTTTTTCCTTTCCTTTTTTATTAATAATCTTAAGTCCTTTGTTATACATAACTTTAAGGGGCACAATATTAGTTTATCTAGATGTGCCCCTCTCCTCTCCTTCCAATATACAATGTAATTCAATTCAAGTGTTTTAATTTGTATTTTACGCGTTTATTTCCTTTGTAAATCTTTATCTCTTACAATAGCACAATATTAGTTTATCTAGATGTGCCCCTCTCCTCTCCTTCCAATATACAATGTAATTCAATTCAAGTGTTTTAATTTCTATTTTACGCGTTTATTTCCTTTGTAAATCTTTATCTCTTACTTATTATTTTTCTCAGCTATATTTACATAACTATGTATCAGCTAGGAATTGGAGGAATAAAAAAATGAATGAATGAATGAATGAATGAAAGTGGGAAAAGGTAATAAGCGTTTTTACGAATAAGTGATGATATGATTAGTTTCAATCATTAGTTTAAAGTGAGGTCATTGTAATTTACATACTAAGTAACTGTATTGCTGTAATAGCTTTGTTTAGCTTTGTATTCTTTTGTTTGTACCATATATATGTGTGTGTGTTTTTCTCTTTCTTAATTTCTATTTTGTATGTAAACGTAAGAAATGCTTTAATTAAAAAAATATTTAAAAAAAAGGGCAGGACCAAGAAACTTCAAGTAACAAAGACAAAGCTTGTGGATTGTACTAACCTTCTGACACCAAGTTTTGTCAGTCAATGAGGAACGTTGAGTCGACTAGGTCTCGTAGAACACAAACTTTAATCTCTTCAGAACAACAAATACATAATCAGTCTATTTATAGAGACTTACATAATGTTTGGGATAATAATAGAGATTAGCAAACTGACATTTTAGAATGTTCTTATCCAAAAGGCAAATGTAGATGAATTCCAGAAAGTTCTAGATATCATAACACTTGCCTAAAAAATGCTGAAAATTGGTTAAAACCAGCGATGTGAACAACTTGATGGTGAGCGATCGAAAGGGGGCGAGCGCATGGAAAAGCGCGCTTAAGAACGATATAGTCCGGAACGCCCTAAATTCTGATTGGCTGGAAATAAGATAGCCTTGGAACCTGCCGCCTTGGCCTACAAACCATTATCAAATGCCTTGCCATAAAATCCCATTATGATGTCGTCATAACGGTGTCTTTTAAAATACATTTAAAAACAAAAACGTGAACGACGTTTCGGCGCTACGTTGCGCCATTATCAAGTTGAACGTGAAAAGGTATAAGGTGTAAAACGAATATATACAATTTGAAACAATACATAAAAAAATTGAGGGTCCAATGGGTATAATTCCCAAGGTAAGAAACACAACAAGAGAAAATGTACGAAAGTGTCACGTAAATAGTTTGGCGCGAACTGAGTCGGCTTGCGTGTTAAGAGAAGGCTTGATGTCCTTTATGTATAACATCTCATAGACTAAGCAATCAAACTAGCCGTTACATTTCCTCAGAACTTTGAACGTATTTACAGTATATAACACATTATATCTACCTGGAGGTATGAAAACCGGGTTAGCAAACATTTTGTAATTTTTCTCAACTTCCCCTGTCTAATAGCTTGACATATGTTTACTCAAGAGCCATAATGGGACGCGCTAGTAGTGTAGGGCGCACCGGTTACTCCGGTTTTTTGGGTGGGAATCTCATTAAGGTGGGGGGGGGGGAATAAATTAACGTCGCTGACGTCATAGGCTATTGTCTTGATCTCATGAATAAAATGCGCAGGAATCTCATAAAGATAAGGTGATGTGCTATTTTTATTTTGTGGTGGTCATGGTTGGTATAACCGGTTTGACAGGTTTTAGTTATTTTCGGAAGATGATGTCATATGTATTCCGGGGTACTATGATGTCATAGTTGTTTTGATTGCTTGACCGGAATTAGAAAGACGCTCATTGGCTGTCTCGTTTGACGAAGCCTTCTGGTTGGTTGCCGTATTTTCATTGTTTGAACGGCATAAAGGCCTGCTCACTGCCTTCCCGCATACTAATTTGGATTTCCTGCATACTTATTAAGTGTCGTCCTGCATACTAATTCGGCATAGGTTTACTAATGAGCGTTTCTCTACTATAATAGGAACAATAGGCTTGCCTAGACTTCCCCGGTAAGTAACTTAATTAAAAGGAAAATAAGAGCGATCACCTAACAACGCGAAAAACAGCTTCCTATATCTTATTTAGCGCTAAAACTCGGATATATATAAACAAGACATACACAAAGGGGAGCTGAAAACGCTTTATTTCAAGTTTGTCTGACTATTACAGAACTGTTTTCTCCGTTTTATCTCGAGGAAATGAAAAACTATTGAAGACTTGTCATTTTCACGCACGGTTAATCACTTAATTATGCGAGTTCACAAGCCCAAAGTTGAATACAAATTAGCTCTACAGGAAAAGCCTCAAGGGAGCAACCTTGACGTATTATTATAAAACAAATAACTTAACAAGGATCAATTAAAACACGCGACTCATAATTGCTAGCAATAAAACCAGACAAGAGAGATACCGTTTTAAAAAACTTTATTGAAAACCAAAAAGAGTCCAATACACAGCGATTTGGAAGAAATGGAAATTAGACCTCCTCTTCGTTCTCCTCTTTAGAAGGTGAATAAATGGCGTTTTTGTGTGTAATTAATCCACAATCGTGACACCGAAGAAAGCCCTCTTTGATGTATTTTCTCTCCTCGGGGATCTGGTGATCGCATATAGGACAAATCTTGTAGTTATCGTGCCAAAAGCATTTAGGACATTTCATGATCAATGTGGAGTACACATTAGAGTCTTCGCAATGTTCACAGGGACTTTTAGAGTGAAAGGTGGTGGACGTTTCAGGGCTACTACTTTCTAGTTCCTGGCTGTCTTTTTCAGTGTCGTTGTCGCTCTCTTGGGTCTCTTCCGCTTCAACGCCATTCTCAGAAGCCACTTCCTCCTCCTCCTCCTCCTCCTGATTTTCAATATCCGATGAACTCTCCTCATTATTACTCTCATTATCGGAAGTATTTTCTACATTTCGGTAGCCTTTTTCCTTTTCTATTAAATCACTTAACAACTTTTTGTTCTTGATTAAACCTTTATCGATTCCTAACTCTGCAAGTCCATCTAGAAACGGCTTGGTAACCTCATTGTTATGAGGGAGTAACACATACTCAACTAGCTCGGCGATGTTTGTGAAGGGAATAGTGCGTTTATTTCGAAGTAATTGTCCACTAGGGGTCCAGAAAAGAATATCTTTGGACGCGGCCATACTATGCAGCAATTCGGAAGCACGCTTTTCCGACACTGCTCGGGAAAGATGACTCAAAACATCTTTTATTCTTGGTTCTTCTCTTATTCTTGGTTCTTCATTCTCGCTTTCATCACCAGAACTTTCGCTTTCTTCATGTTCACTCTCGTGTTCTTCTTCAACCAAATCTATCTTTCTCTTCATTTTGATGAGTACCCATGACAGACCGTAGCTTCAAATGAGTAACTTATAGTTTCGTTTCCTCTTTTATAGCATCAGAAATCCTAGACTTGTAACAGCAGGTACCAATAGGTCTTGAATAAAACCATCACCCTCTTGTACAAGGATTCGCTTCTTTGTTTTGTAAGGGACATTTGTTTCTGCTAGGTTTACTAGAGCATCCTTATATGGCAACATGTTCCGCTTATTTTCTTCGGGGATAAGAATGTATTCCTTAAGTATATTGTATAAGACTTGGACTAATGCATGTTGTTTGTTGTGGACTGGCTGTCCGTAAAAGAAACTGTCGCTGATGAGCTGGACAAACAGCTAAGAATTGAAGAAAACCACGATTGTTCTTGAAAACTTGAGACATTGCGACAAACTGAACTTATGATAGTAGTTTGCAGTCTTTTATTGACTGTCGTGGAGGGAGGACAATAGAAATGTGGTGGTGGTGGTGGTGGAGGGAAAACAATAGAAATGTGGTGGTGGTGGTGGTGGTAGTGGAGGGAAAACAATAGAAATGTGGTGGCGGTGGTGGTGGTGGTGGTGGAGGGAAAACAATAGAAATGTGGTGGCGGTGGTGGTGGTGGTGGTGGTGGTGGAGGAAAACTATTGAATTTTATTGCCTTCAAAACTATATCAATGCGCAACATTCTACCTCTTTCTCAGTCTACATTCTGCTTCTGAGGAGTTGACGTGAGTTGGTTCTGTTTTGTCTGCGAAAAATCATTTAGTCTAAGGATAGGACTAAATCGTTGTGAAAACAGTTTTAAAAAAGAGAGTTGGATTTTTCAGATGTTTGGATCTAAACTTTAGCTATTTTCTCTTATTGCATAATCTTTAGTGACATGGGTGGGCACTGACATCCCTTGATTGGCACCTGTCACTCCAAATGACTGAAACTGCCGGTATCAATTTACATAGGATTGACCTTTATTTGTGTCGAAGGGGATTAAAATTCATTGTATCTTGTAACCAGGAGCAGCGTCTAAGGTTTGATGCTTATTTTCGTGAAATTTTGATGATAAATGGCAAACATCCAAGGGGGGCGGTCTAACTTCCAAGGAAATGGTTGGACATCAGACTCACTTTGTCTTTGAGAGTTATTTGGTCGGTCCCTCAATCTGACCAAGTTTCATTCAAATCGGAGAGATAGCTTGTGTCATGCCTGCCTGGTTTTCTCATGGATACAGTCTTAAACTTTCTTAGGTGAAAGTGGAAAAGCTGGAAAACTACTGTTTGATACTCAAATGACAGCAATAAAACTGGGATGGGATTCGCACTCTCGCGGGATATAATTTATTTCGTTTTTTTTTCCCAGCCGCAGCCGAGTTCCGGTTAGGTTTCGGTCGATGTTAGAGAGGATTTCGTGACGTGTTGAGATGTACTAAATCCAGCGTTCCTTGGGAACACCATAAGGCACGTCGTTCAATGCAATACAGCTGAGTCTATTACAGATTTAACCTTTTTTTAGTGATATAAACTAGAAACGACCATATTGACTGTTTAAAAACTATTCAAACTGCGATCGAGTCGACGGGATCGTTTCAGTCATTTTGCCAGACGCCGCTGACATATCGATGACTCATCTGGTTTAGGTCGATGTTATCTCATGTGCTTTTCGTCTGGCCCGTTGTCTCCTTCCCGCCTTCCTTTGCGCGCACATTTTCATCAAAAGAGAGACGTCTGAAGGTCTAGAAGGCAAGCGTTTTGTTTGCTGTTTAGTGCGTGTTCAATTAGTAAAAACTCACTACATATTCAACCATAAATGTAAAATTATATCACGGCAACGAAGCTTGATAATTACGCATTCATTGAAACCAGCGCTGAAACATGAAAGATGCCTCAAAGTATTTAAAATGTCATACTTACAGCAACTGCCTTTAGCAGCCTTTAGAAACGAGTTCCAGCCCGTTGGTTTTTTAATGGCTCTTAACTTGTCGGGTTTTGCATTCAATGCAGCCGGATTATTGCTTAGATTGGATGCAACGCTTTCAATAGAAACTTCCTCAACTTGAATTGCTATACTTGATCCGCCATTTTGTTGAGTTCCCAGAGTTACCCCATGTACATCGTGTTTTCGTGATTTCCCACAACGCAACGCTGTTTCAAATATCACGATATCCTCCAAGGGCCGGTTTGGCATCAACCATACTAAATGGCATCGACTGTTTCAGGGAAAGGCATCTTTAATGTCGGGCTTACATCGTATATGTTTCACAATCAATTCGTAAAGCTACTGCTTGCGTCCGTTACTTCCTACGTTCTGATACAACATAGCACGTTCTAAAATAACAACACCTAATATGCATACTATTAGCGTCACTAGGCGTGTCAAGCATGCGGTCACGCCATTACATCTCTCCCCCCGTCACGCGGAAACAGCAAACAAAAATAAAGAAATAAACTAAATAATTAAAGTCCTTATGGCCTAGTCCAAATAAAGTCCTTATAGTCAGTGTCGTTTAAAGGCTCTAATATAGTAGACAAGCAAATGCTCGCTATTCGCAAATAAATTCCTTATATTTAGTGTCCTTTGTGGATCTTGTTTTCCTTCTGGGCCTGTCCAAGGGCGCATGTCTTCGCTCTGCGTCACGGTCTGATCGGGGCTGCCGAGATCTCTGCCTATTCTCGTACTCAGCTGAGTCGCTGTTTACTCTTGGCTGCTCATGACCTTGCCGTGATTCACTGGATCTGTCCGCTGGCACTGCATCTCCACTTGGCCCTGCTAAGGATTGCTCTGGACCTTCAATTATAACTTCGTCCGGTTCAAATGCATCATCGCTGTCAGAATCATCACACCGCGGTGATTCCCTACAACCATTTTTGAGCATTTTCCAATCGGCGTAATTCCTGGTGCTAATCCTCACACTGTTCTTGGCAGTGACCATGCTTCCCTTGACGCCAATGACTACCATAGGATCCGGGTCATACAGAGTTGTCAGGCTGTTTTTACGTTCCTGCTTGCACAACACCGTGTCCCCGACTTTAATTTTCATCACGGGTGTGTGTCTTCTTTTATCAGCATATTGCTTCATCTTCTGTTTTTGTTCTCGGTCACGACAGCGAATCATCGTGTCATCCCTATATTTAGGCTGTCCCTTGACTTCAGGGACTTCCAGTTTGCACTTTGCTTTCTGATACCGTCTGGCTTCCATGAATCGCGAACTATATCTGACCTTACAGAGGAATGAGTTAAGTTCGGCTGCATTTCTAGGGCATCCCGCAGATTTAATGGCTTTCACTTTGCATGGGTCTGGAGATACTCCATCTTTAGAGAACATCATGCCACAGTAAGCCACGCGATCTTTTCTGAATTCACATTTTGCTCTGTTGAATGTGACATTCTTTTCGCGGTTTCTCTCGAATAATGCTGCTACCAGTTTTGAATCGTGTTTTTTTTGTCACGCCCATGCACAATGATGTCATCACTTATGTTGAAAACTCTCTTCAGGTCGTGCGTCAATTCCTCTCTTATCGTCTCTTGAAATATCTCTGCAGCTGACCTTGTACCATAGTTGAACCTCTTATATCCGTACAAGCCAATGTGAGTTGAAAAGGTCGTTTCGTTCCGCAAACTCTCTTTGAGTTCAAGTTGGTGGTATCCCTTATTCATATGCAGGTGGAAGAACACCGTTGACCACGTCGTCTATTGTGGGGTGCTGGGTGTGTCTGCGGGGTATTGCCTGATTTGCCACGCGCATGTCCACGTTCAGACGTTTCTGGCTCTGATCTTTCTTGAGCGTAACCACAGGCGGTGACACCCATCCCGTAGTTTCGTTGACTTTTTCAATAATGTTTTGATCAATAATATGCCTTATTTTTTTTCCATCCATAACAGGCCAGAGGCCCGATTTTAAGTACTAGGCGACTTTGAAAGACGCGTGCTTCACATATTTGTGGTGGATTAGAATGCCGGCTTGGTTAGAGGCCCTTTGTTTAAAACATGGCGGGATACTCGCAGCTTAAGGCAAGCATGTGCCTTGTAGCTGTCAACATAATGCTTTTTAATTACATTCTGTCATAGTTAACAAAACCCGATCCATGTTTGATTGAAAGTAACTGTACAAATCTGGTACCAGACAAACCGCTTTTAAAAAACAAAACAACAAAACTAGTTTATGGTTATTTCTCATTAATTTCACTTATCACAAAAAATATTTACTTTTATCAGTTTTCCCGTTTCTTTCAAAACATTCTTCATTTCCGGGCGTTTCACTGTAGTCAATGAAAGACACGTTTTATCGGTCTTCTTTTACGCGGGAATATCAAAATTTCCATCTTTCAAAACGCGATGAACCAAAGCTTGCAGGGTACCAAAGCGCCAAAGGCGCACGATGCAGTCCCGGTGTTTTGTGAGCACCCGTTAAGAATATTGAACGCCAAAACTATCAAGTTTTGGTACAGCGAGAGGCAGCTAGTTTCTGTACCCAAAGGTTAGTGCATGGACAGGCTATCGAAAGAAAATAAAAGGGATGCTTGCCCAATGGATAGTAGGCCTAACTACGCAAATAAATGTCTCATTGCATCCTTGTCTGCGAGGTTAGTACTAAATTTACACTCTAGAATACATTACACAACTCAATCCGCAACACTTTGCAAGTAGAATTGGCGATCAGTGTGGGTAATTTATATTTCTAAGGGACGTCCGTCGCACAAAGGCTTAACGCGGGGGGGTTTTTAGTCAATGACTGACATAAGAATTTCCTCACAATCAACCCAGTTAGAGTGCGATAATGTGCGCGTGAACTTTGCCTACAACTGGCAATAAGCTGAATAAACCGGAAGCTGAACACCATGAATAAGTTACTAAATTATATCGCTCAGGTTTTTTTTCTTTCTTTTCAAGTACCGGAGGGGTTTTTCGCGCATTCTGTTGCTCAGTTTGGCAGTGATATACCGAGCATCAGACAGGTAACGCGCCAAAGCCACCATTTTACTCTTCTTCTACCAAACAGTTTTCCTGCAATGGTGTTAGTACTGGTCCCGTGGCCGAAACCTTGCACGAGCAAGATACGGTAATCGAGAGTCGAGAATCGAGAATCGATATTGTACTCGGGACAAGAAAAGGTCGCCGTCCAAGGAACAACTGATGCAATGCAAGAGCTTCAAGCTGCTGAGAATCGCCAATTCTGGATTACAAGCAGTGAAGAAACTCCTGAGAAGCGTCCAAATTATAAAGGAACTTTGGAGGCCAGTCAGCCACGGTGATTGTCGCACCACGCAAAAACTAGAATAAATTTGTTAGCCTGGTCTTGTCTTTGCCACAAATCACGTAAAACCATAAAGAAGGTACCACTATGAACTCTGGAAAATGAAAATTCAATAATACTGTGGTTGACGACTGACAGTTTAAAAGAGAGACAACCTTCACCTCAGAATCTTGGGCGCACGGCTGTAAGCTCTGAGGGAGAGGGAAGCCCCATAATTTGGCCTATTTAAAAAAAATGACACTACAAAAATTACCTACAATTATAAATTCAAAAGGGAGACTACCATCACCTCAGAAACTTGGGCGCGCCGCCTGTAAGCTCTAAGGGAGAAGGTAGCCCCATAATTAATTTGGCCTATTTTAAAAATAAATGACACTACAAAAATTACCTTCAATAATAATTTGGATAAATGACTGACATTTTAAAAGAGAGACTACCATCACCTCAGAAACTTGGGCGCGCCGCCTGTAAGCTCTGAGGGAGAGGGTAGCCCCATAATTTGGCCTATTTCGAAACAAATGACAGTACAAAGATGACCTACAATAATAATTTGGATAATGACCGACATTTCAAAAGAGAGACTACCATCACCTCAGAATCTTGGGCGCGCCGCCTGTAAGCTCTGAGGGAGAGGGTAGCCCCATAATTTGGCCTATTTCGAAACAAATGACAGTACAAAGATGACCTACAATAATAATTTGGATAATGACCGACATTTCAAAAGAGAGACTACCATCACCTCAGAATCTTGGGCGCGCCGCCTGTAAGCTCTGAGGGAGAGGGTAGCCCCATAATTTGGCCTATTTCGAAACAAATGACAGTACAAAGATGACCTACAATAATAATTTGGATAATGACCGACATTTCAAAAGAGAGACTACCATCACCTCAGAATCTTGGGCGCGCCGCCTGTAAGCTCTGAGGGAGAGGGTAGCCCAATAATTTGGCCTATTTCGAAACAAATGACAGTACAAAGATGACCTACAATAATAATTTGGATAATGACCGACATTTCAAAAGAGAGACTACCATCACCTCAGAATCTTGGGCGCGCCGCCTGTAAGCTCTGAGGGAGAGGGTAGCCCCATAATTTGGCCTATTTCAGAAACAAATGACACTACAAAAATCACCTACAAAAGTATTTGGATAATGACCGACATTTCAAAAGAGAGACTACCTTCACCTCAGAATCTTGGGCGCGCCGCCTGTAAGCTCTGAGGGAGAGGGTAGCCCTATAATTTGGCCTATTAAGTAAAAAACAAGTAACAATACAAAGGTAACCTGTAATAATAACTTTTGGATTATGATTGACATTTTAAGGAGGCTAAAATTACCGATATAGAAACCATACTGTATCTGTGACGCTGATTATACAGATCACCCAAGCGAACGCGAAGATGTTGAAGTGGAAGCTAGAATATCTGGAGTAATCCAGCGTCTTGGGCTCCTGCCAGCGAATAAGATTTTGGCGGGATTTCGACAGTGCTTGGCGGGCTTTTTGGAGAGTGATTTGTCACTGGAGGCACATCGACGCTTACATCGTCTTAAGCCAGAGAAAAAAGACTTGAATCCTTCGCCGTTTGATAAAAAAGGTCGTCCATTGAATCAGATAATCGGTCTTGCTGTTCCTCAAGGAGATGTGAAGTAGAGCTCGAGCTCTCGCATTCGTTTACACCGGCGACTATAAAATGTGCATTGTTGACGGCTTTTCTCAAACGTTCAAATAGAGAAGATTTAAAAATTTCTTTGGTCAGGGTCTTTTCCACGCAGAGTTCCTTCCAAACCAGAGAAAGATGTGCCAGCAGAGAGTGTATTCCTACATGTGGCTTCACAGTAAAAACTTGATACGCCGACTCGCCGTTTTCGCTTCGAAGGTCACCAATGTTGACACGGCATACTACTCTTGAAAGAAGTTAAATAAGCCATGGGAGCACTATTTTCTTAAAAGAGAGCACTTGAAAAGCCACTGAAAGCGTATCAAGCCTATTTGAATCCAAAAACGGCGAGAAAACTGTAGTTATCAATTGCGAAGCCAGCCGCAAAGGTCGACTTCGACCGTGAAATGAATTTATAATCCCAAATAGTCTGATCAAATTTCGCGTTTCCTTGAGATGTCTGGTTCATTTAATCAGAAGTACAAAGTTCCTTGACAGGCAACGTGTCCGGCGCTCTTCAAAGGTGTCTGGAGGAACGCTTAAAACTAATTACGAAAGTAACGCTTGTCTGTTATTGGAAACCGATCTGTGGTGGTTGCTGTGGAGATTAGGCCTCCTCCTGCGCGCACTAAAATCGGGGCTCTGGCCTGTTATGTCTGACGTACGCTGAACGTACCCGAGCAACGGTTCGGTGCGGGTGTCTCCTTTTATTAGCTGCCACGTGATCACTTTCATTTTTGTCTTAGATTCCGTAAGCGCTTCAAAACAACCCAGAACAGGCAGGCTGTTTGCTTTTGAAGCTGCCCCGTATGGTTTTATTTGGCATCTTGACTAACCTTTACTCTTTTCTCTAGGCCGTATTTCTTGAACATTGCCTCATCCATGGCGTTGACCGTAGCACCGCTGTCAGGTAGTACCGTAATGTCAACGCCGCTAATTAGCACCGTTCTCAGGGGCCTATTTTGT